TTTCCCTATAAAGTTTTACAAATATCAATTAATGTCTTAAAGTATTGGTTAAATTTAAAATCTAACCTTTTATAAAAAAAATGTTATTAATATTTTTTTTTGTCATAAACTTTAATAGATTCCAAAGTTTGATCTTGAAGGCAATTATTATTAGTATACATTGTAACATCCCAAAATATATAGTATAAACTATATTAAAAAGAAGTTACATGCATGATAAAGTAATACAGTTATCCATCTAGAGTATAAAGTGTTACCTTTACAGTCATCCAAAAACAGCTATAAATTTAAACTTTATATATACATACTAAAGAATACTCCAAAACTATACACAAACTTCTACTAAGCTAAGTCAACTACTCAGCAACATCACTTCCATCCAAAGCTTGCTCCAGAGAAACCTCTTCTCTCGCTGCTCACATCCAAAGGATGATCATTGCAGAAGAATAACATCAGAACATATAAAATACAAGCACACAACAGGGTAAGCTAGTTTAAACAAAGATTAATCATACATCAATTTATTTAACTTCATACAATTATACTATTCATTCACATCACATAAACTCTTCACACATAACACTACACTGACTTAGTCCGTTATCATTCACCTTGGGCCATACTGGAAGCACTCAAGACTAGGACCTCCTGCTACTCCTCGCGACATGGATCAATCTTCTCTACTTGAGAATGAAAGACCATTGAAGTTTCAGGATAACCCCCAAGACTAAGCTCATGCATTCATTCTAAACTTACTTGAATCTCAACTAGAGATTTCACTTTGAATCACAACATAGGACACCACCATGTCTCCTCTCCTTGAGGATCATGAAATTATGTCCATTAACCATACTTTGAACTTTACACTTTGAAATACAACATACATCAATAACCATTGATATTACATGATACAACTTCAACTTACTTCATACAACACTTAATTTTTCATTTAAAACAACTTAAGATCAAAAGAGAATTGAACTAGAATTGAACCCCTCGCACAACACACATCTTCGCATAGCGAAACCATAAGCTTCTCGCATAGCAACCCAACTCGCTATGCGAATCCTTAGACAAAGACCAACTCCTCATAACCACTCGCATAGCGGTTAAACTCGTTATGCGAATAAAATGTGAATTGTATCAGACCCCAAATCCCTCGCATAACGTCCCAACTCGCTATGCGAGATCCTCATACAGTGGCTCATGCTCCTCAAGCACTCGCAGAGCGAAACCCATTCGCTATTCGAATAAAAAGAATAATAGTTCCAGACCCCAACCAGTAGCATAACGATTTGATTCGCTATGCTGATCGACAAACAAAGAGCAACCCTCTCAATCCATCGCACAGTGCACCCATTCGCTATGCGAATGCCTTGACAGAGAGCACCTCGCCAAGGTGACTCTCTATGCGAATCCATTCGCACAACGAGTCTGCATAATCTGCAGAACGAAATTCTTCATAATTATGCAGCTCAACCACCCCTTACCAATTCTACTCAATTTTTCCAACTTCAAACACTCCTAGATCGTTGTATATGCTTAATTAGACTTGACTAAGTGATTCTAGACCTTCCTAACATCAATCTAAAGTGTTTATGCATCAAATCCTACTCTAAAACCTCAATTTCATCAACTTAGAGACCAAAATTCTAATTTACCACTTTGAACCTGATTTTAACCAATTTGATGACTCAAACAAGTCACATATGACTTATCTAAACTGCCCCAGCAGACCATAACAACACTTGACCTCTAATACTCAAATTCACTACCTCACTTCCTCTAAATTACACTAAACAAGCTCAATTCACTTCACTTTCTATCTAAACCCTACCATACCATGCTTCTCACATAAAAATACCACCAACCAGTTAAATCACCACTGATAAATTCATCCAAACCAATTCATAAACATCACAATACAATTTCATACATTACACATTCCAATACATATTATTCAATCTACTCAGCATACAAACAGTGTCCCAAAACAACATACTAATTCAGAATTTATCATACACACATATCATACAATCAATTGAGATAAAGTTTATAGCTCCCCTACCTTAGAAATTAACAGCCCAACTCACAGATATACTCTGACAATGCCTTACAATGCAAGGAAATTCAACAGAACCCTACAACTCACCAATTGGTGATAGAAAACAACTCTTAGAGCTTGAATTTAACTAGAAATTGAAGAAAGAAACTACTAACCACATGCAAAGCAGAAACTATGCATGCTCACAGTCCAGTGAAGAACAGATAACAGTGGAAACCAATTACCAGCTGAAGAACACGAAATTGATCGGTCTAAAACGAAGCCTTCAACGCTAGGATCGCCTATGCACCTCCTGATCGTCGAACATATAACTCAACAGAGAGAGATTGTAGAGAGAAGTCAGAGAACTCTGAAGAATAGAGTTCTAGAGAGATGGAGTGTTCTTAGAATAATGAGAAGTGTTTATAAAATTTTATTTATATTATAAGATTATTTTAAAATAAAATAATATGTCTCATTATTTTAATACCTATAACACTCTATTTTTTACGTCCTTACATATATCTAAATCTAAATGTATATATTTTATATTAAGAAATAGTTGGTTTAGGAAGTGTTGAATTCGCTTCTTATGTAGTATAAAAAAAGAGTATACAATTTATTAAATATGTTTCCTGCATAATATGATTATATTTTTTCAGGAATAGATTGTGTTGTTGCAAACACGTTGTCATACTTAAATACGATGACAAAGTTAATTTACTTCATGTCCAAAATAATTGAAAATTTTTATTTATCTATAAGCAAGAAAAACTTAAGAAAATATTTATATTTTAACAACCAAGTAAATATAAAATATTCTATAATCTGTTTAAAAAAATTCATTAACAAACTAAAAATAAGTAAAACATTATTTTAATAAGTTTAATTATGTTTCAACCTTTTGAAAAATATATATATTTCCAGTTTTTAATAAATTTTTGTGATTTATTAAATATTTAAAATACTTTTTAATTGATTTTTGATTGTTATTCTGATTCATTATCTTGTTTACTTATATATTAAGAAAATATTAAATCATGTTTTTAATATAAAATAATATTATATAGTGATAAATGATTTTTGTTAAAAATATTTTAAATAAAAAGATAGTTATGATTTCTAACTACTTTCACTTCTATACAAGGGACTATCATTATTTCATTATTAATGAAACTATTCTTATTATCTGCTATGTTTTCAATAAAAATAATAAAAATTACTTATAATTTTAAATTAATAGTAATTTTGTTTTATATTAACAACAAAATTGATATTTTCTAACATTATAATATTTTTTTCATATTAACAATAAAACCTCACATATTTAATACATTGAAACAAGTAAACAAGACAATAATATAATACATTAATTACATCATTAAGATTATATAGAAGATTAAACAGAAAATATTCAATTAAAAGATATAAAACTTTTGAAACATATTTAATACATTGAAACAAGTAAACAAGACAATAATATCATACAATAATTACATCATTAAGATTATATAGAAGATTAAACAGAAAATATTCAATTAAAAATATAAAACTTTTGAATACTCAATAAATAAATGAATAAATTTAATAAATACTTAGTTAAAAATATTCATAATCATCATACTTTAAAACTTAATTAAGCCATTTTAATACTATAATATAAAATATAATTATATTTTACAATTTTATTATTAAATTAATCTTTCGGTGGTATCAAGTAGTTGTTAAATTTATATCTTTATATCACTGTTTTAATATTCTATAAAAAAAATTAACTTGATTATGTTTAAAATTTTCTTCGTCTGCGTAAAACACTTTATAACTACACTCATTTCGGAATGTAATTAAAAGGCGAGTATATTTATTTTTTTCTTATACATGAGGCGAATAATATATTTCCTTCCACCATTTGAAACATTAGTTAAAGTCTAACATGTAAGTAGAAGTTTGTTAAATAATAAAAGAGACTCGTAAACTTTTTTATAATATTTTTATGTAGGAATAAAAATGTTGTTTTTCTAATGCTTTTCAATAAGATGTTTTAACTATTAGTTAAAATTTACTAAACATATAAAATTATTAGTAAATCTCATTGAATAAAAAAAGATTTATAATTTTTATTGAGTTTGAGAATAAATTATATTTTGACAAATTTTTTTATTTTATTTTTAAGTTTCATTTTGACATTTTATCTTTCTAAAAAAGTTAGTTTTCTCTTTTAAATTTGGGGTAATTTTTTTCTTCCAAAATTAGAGCAATGTCAATTTTAGAACATTTTTTATTCATTCAAAACATAAAAATTTGTTCCATCAAATTCGTCTGGTGAGATATTTAATTAATTAGAAAAGAAATCCACCAATATAAAAAAGTATTATCTTAAACAAAAGAGAACTATTCATACACAGAAAAAACAAAAAGAGACAATAAATTGTTATCATGAGATCCAATTCACCCTCTTGAATCTCTACATTATTTATTAGCTTCACCTGTAAGAAGATTTTCACTGTGTTCATGACTACTTATGTGTATCTATTCAAACATCTAAAAGTGAATATAATGATATAAAAATCAGTCAGAAAAGTTTAAAATTGTGATAAAATTGGAAACATTATTATTTTAAAATAACTAAATCAATACAAGTTTTTTCTTTTTTTATTTATAAAAATAAAGGATCAAAATAGTTTTAAAAAAATAAAGATAAATCTTTTAAAAAAAAAGAAAAAAAAAAGATGTCCCAGTGAGAATATTACACTTAACTGATATCCTAAGTACAGAAGTAGTAGTTTTCAACTAACAATAAATTGTCCAACTACCTAACAAAGTTAAACTTAAATGGTCAACCTCCACCTCAACTTCAACTACCGTTCTTCTCTGTTTCTTTCCACTCCCTCCCAAATCTTCAACAGCAACCATTGTTCTTCTCCTTCTATTAATACCTCTCAACAAAACTCCTTTTCTTCAACACACACTTCATCCTCCACCACTCTCAAACCTCCACCTCCTTCAATGGCTGACTCCAATACCTCTTCCACTCAAACTTCTTCACATTCTTCTGGTATGTATATACATCATTATTCTACACTCTATCTACCAACTTTTTCAGATGTTGCTTCATGCAAAACAAATATTTCAATGCATTTTTAATGATATTAATTTCATTTTACACTTTATTTGCTGGAATAATGATACTAGGAGGGTAGTTGTTGGCTATGTATGTTATGCCTCTTGTTAAACCTGCAAACTTGAGAGTACACACACCCATTAATCTTTGCAGTTTTTTCCACTCCAGTGCTTCTTGTGGGTCACTCTTTTATTCTTTTCTCATGGAACACCAACTACTTTTGGAACCTAATTTCATATTGCTAACTTTTCTAAGTTGCATGTGAGAGTTAATAGCACACTGTCTGGTGTACACTTCTGAAGTTGGAAATTGAAAAAAATTATAACTTTTAATAATTTCTGATAACAATAATAATAAAGAATGTGAAAAAAGACAACTTTTGCTGGAAAAAGGTAGTTAAACACACTCTAGAGTTTATGACAGACACCCAATTATTAACTGACATGCATATGGTTGTGGAAAAGTGGAAACTACTACAATCATCATATATGAATATGTTAAAAGAATATATAGTGCTTACGCGTATCAAGTGATAACAATTTGAGTCTCTTAGAGTTGACAGTGTCTAAGGAAAAATTTGGTAGTTAGCTCTACTTTTCTCTGCATGGTTTTTTAGTGAAAGATGATAAAATCTGTTTAGATTCAGGGAAGCGTGGATCTTCCAAGGTTGAATTTTCTGAAGATGAGGAAACTCTTATAATCAGGATGTATAAACTGGTTGGGAAAAGGTGAGAAAATTTTCTTGTTAACATGCTTTGAATCTTACCCTTTTAAGCAGTGTGCAGATGGAGCTTGTAAAAACAATGTGTTTCTTTTTAGGTGGTCTTTGATTGCTGGAAGAATTCCTGGAAGAACAGCAGACGAAATAGAGAAGTATTGGACTTCGAGACTCTCGAGTTCTAGTAAATGAAGTGGCAGAGTACTACATATTGGTGTTCAGTGTAGGATGAGCAACAAGATTTTGGGTGCAACATTAGTGTTAAGTTGTGGGAGTGATTTTGTGGGACATAAACTGAATTAAAGTTGGTCTTATTTATTTATAGGTATCTGTATTTGTATTGGCTATAAAAGAAAGAAACTGCAACTATAAAAGCTTGTTTGTGTAATAGTTTTCCTTCTTCAAATGTTACTTGGTGGTTGGTCTTATCTGAATCGCATTAGTGGCGTTCGCTTTCTTCGTTTGTCTTTCTTATTCATTTACCATTTTGGCTATGTATCATGTGTCTCTGTGTATTAATTGAACGAGTACAATTCTTGATACCAAATTGCATAGGGATTCGGGTGTCTCATTCTCGCATATCATCTATCAAAATCTAACTCTAACTAAGAAGCACCACTTGTTTTTTTGAAGCGTTAGATGAAGATTGAATCATCTTCTCATTTATATATATAGAACGGGTGGTGGCATTAGGTCCCACATCGTTCGTTATAGGATTGAATGGAACACACCTAAAAGAAAAGGTGTTAGTGGATAAATATGATGTTACATACAGCTCAAAACAACAGTTTTACCTAAAACTTTTTTTTTTCATATACATTTGTTAAAACTTATCATGTAAAATCAGAAAATAAAATTAAATAATAGGTGAGATTCATTAAAATTTGTAATTTTAATCAATTTTAGCTAACAATAATAAGTATGTCTAAAAAATTACTGCTCAAGAATTTCATATTATATATCATAAATGGTCAAAATTAAGATTATAAGTTTTTCTTTAAATTGTCACATCAAAAATTTTGTAGACGCGAAAATGCAGTTGATGAAGAATAAACAGAACTAATTGTCTTAGCAGTATTTAAAATAATGCGTCTACAAATAATTATGAGCACCATACTACTATTTATTTATTTTTATTTCAATATAAAATAGTAAAGTGATAATATATAATATATTAAGACAATAAAGAATGGTACAAACAACAAAATTTAAAACGAACTATCCCTTTCTTTCTTTCTTTCTCTCTCTATCTTTCAATTTCAAGCACGAAGAGAAGGCGATCTGAGTGGATGAGGTGAGAAGTTGGGAGCTGATTCGCGTCAACCATCTCGCAACAAAATTTCTGACCAAACATGAAATTCGTGTTTTTCAAGGTATACACAGCTTTGTTTTCTTTTCTTTTGTTTTTCGTATCGTTTTCTGATCCTTCCAACAAATCTACTTTTTCTAAATTTAGTGTTTCTCTATTCAATGTTTGTCTTCCTGTGGATTCTGCAAATTCACTTTACCTTGTTTTACTAACCTTGAAATCGAACTAGATCTAGTTCGTATGCTGTTCAGGAAATTCTGGTTCTCGTCAATTACTCTATAGGTTTATATAAGGCTTTCGGATAATTTTCACGGGAGTTAACTTCTAAGAGCTCCTTTATATACATGAGAAAGAGAGAGATTTTAGAACAGGAAAGGTCGGTTGAGAACCCTAAACCGTGGAATATGGGTTAGCTTTTCCAAATTTGGTGTTGGATAATCTTCACTTTGCAGAAATGGGTTTTGTTAAATGTCAGATTGTTAAGCACAGAAGGTTTGTTTGAAAAATTGTTTCTTAAATGCGAGTTTTTTTATGAAATTTAGTATGAAATTTTCAAATCTGTAAAATGTTTTTTTCTTAGTTTAATAGACATGAGTTTTATATTATCAACTAATTGGAAATCATTATTGGTTATACACGACTTTTTGAATTCATCTACACGTATATTACTTTTTGAAATTTAAAGTTCAACGTTTGTTTTGTCAAAATCTACACGTATATTACTTTTTTAAACTTAAAGTTCAACGTTTGTTTTTGTCAAAATCACATTTCCCTTTTTGCAAACGGGAATTTCTGGGCTGTGCCATCATAAATCCTACATGTTAGATGTCTGAGTTTGTTCATGCTATATTAGATTGCTCTCGCTGTACTAGATTGCAGGTATTGTCTGCTTCTTCAGATGACGAACATTGAGTTTCTATTGCCCCCTGTCTGTTATTTATAGAAATTGTGGATCTTTATGATTTCAATGAGTGAATTCAAATATTGGATATTGGCTGGTTGATGTTTGACATATGGTTGTTTGTTGCGTGCTATCTTCCGGTCCCTTATCAAAAGGAGTATCTGCTTAACATGGTTTTATGGTATTGATTGTTAGATAATATTCACATTGCTGTCTTAAATAGCATTATTCATGTCGCCTCATGTGCTGAACGCCTACTAAATATCATGGTAACAAATAAACTGTATACTGTGAAAAATCCAACCTTGGAAGTCATAATGACCCCAAGATAATATAAACTTAAAGAATTAGGATTTCCTTTTCTTGAAATCCAGATTGATTTGAGTGATTAAAGTTGTTCAAATGGCTATACAGAACATGATTTTCTGCTTACATGTCTCACTATATTGTCAAGGAGAGATACGAAGTTCCGAAAACTTGAATATATATGCTTCTTGACAACATGCCTAATTGAAACAAATGTAGTTCTTTCTGTTTAAGAAATTTTAATGTAATGATGAAACTTATAAGAAAAAAAATGCAAGTGAAATATGTTGCCATATAGCTGGAAACAACATGCAATGGGTAAGAATGGACAGTTGAAATTAGGACCATTTGGTGAGTGGTGGGTAATAGTAGCTTGGAGTTTTCCAGTTTTCCCGTATATCCTTTTAGTGTAATCTTTACCTATATGAAAATATCAAACTCAAGTGTAGTCCATAACTCCATTGCCTATCTAGTGTCAAGCCGAATGGATACTGAAGTTCTATTCTCTAGGCGACAAACATGCAATAGCTACATGGTCTTTTTAAACACTGTGAGGATGATTAAGATAACTGTGATTGTTGAAATTCTCTACCTCCTATTGTTTCTGATTTGAGAATTTTCTTGGCAATTATTTTCCTTGAGGTCTAGATGCTTTGCTGACAAAAGTTCCCATGATATTCCAGCTATGGGGACAATAAGGGGTAAAGTTGTCAAGATTTCAAAGTATTCTAAGAATTAATGAGGACAAGTACCTTACATGATTAAAAAGTTAAATTAGGGCCGAATTTTTTTTGGGGAAATGATGAGCTCTAGATGGATAAGTATATAAAAGAAAAATAACTAACAGTTAGAAGAAGGCAGGTTCAATTTGAAGACATTGAACAATTCTCGGCTTCAGAAGTCATAATAAGAACATAAGAACATATACTTACATTCTTGTTTTTGTTTACTCTTCATCTTCTTTTAAAGTGCATCATGAACTTTATCTACTCGAATTTATGGGAGTGTACACCCTTATTTGCTTACATTAGAGGGGTATTCTGCTGTAAGGAAGCTACAGTGATTCCAAAGATGGAAATCCCTTTATCTTTTCAAGACAGAAAGATGGAGTCCATGGAAGTTCTTAAGTTAGTCTTATTAACTAAAAAGAAAAAAGAAACAGCCAGTATGAAAGTAGGGGGATTCCTGGTTTTCCTTGCCTCTAAGCTAACTTATGTTGCCTATGAGACTATTTTATCTCTGACATCAGTTATACATCAATTGACAATGAGATTGTGTATACTATGACTTGTTAATATCAACATGGAAGAGGTGATAAGTTAGGAGCAATGATGGTATAACAGCTTCCCCCTCTACCCTAAAGAAGCTCCACCACTAAGCCAGTGTTTCTAAACAGTAATTGCGACCACAAGATTAATAATTCCCAACCATTGCTCTTTATAAAATCAATGACTAATTTAACAGAATTCAACTATTCAAGCTTACCTCACATGTTTGCATACTCATCTTTTGAATGCATTACCCATGCTAATACTCCTGAAATCAAATCAATCATTTGTTTACCCATGAAGAAGAATAGTACTAGTCATTTACACCTCTCACACATCACCTCAGATACTTACAATATATCAACTAATGTACCTATTTAACCAATAATTACACAACCAGCTAACTTTAGTATTGGTAGTTAAATATGGGTAGATTTAACTAAAGTTTGGTAGCTGGCTAATCAGAGTGATGTATTGGGAAATGTTTGAGTTGCTTTAATTACGAAAAAGTAATGAATAAAAGCTCTTGCCCATGATTCTGTGTTAAAGAAAAATAGTGGACAACCTATTATGTATTTGCCGTGCAAGCGTACACTATAAAAGCCAATTTGACAATGTAGAAGTACTACAATCAAAGTAACTACTGTAACAATTCAGGGTTTTCATGCACTTAAAAGAAAATTAAATGTGAAATGTATATAGTTCTGTTCTTTATAACTAAGCAATAAAATTACTTTCCTCTCCTCTGGTTACTTCTTCCATGGTTTCCAAACAGCGAGAACGATGATGATGGCAATGACCAGGAACAATATAATGGAAATCATCATGCATTTTCTTGATTTCTTTTGCAAACTTTTTGCAGTTTGGAGAGCGTCGTTACCCAGTCTCACATGATCAGTTGCGTTTGTCACCTGTTCATTGCAGAATGGCATTTTAAAAAGACATTATTAGCTGTCCGAAATAATAAATATTTTCCTAGTAGTTCAAATCTTTTGCAATTGATGCAATAGTTACATTATTCTTTCCAAACAATAAACATAGAAATGCTACTGGTGCGAATTAGTTCCTCCACTGTAAATAGTTAATATGATTATAAATAGGTTTGATAGGAAATAATTGAAAAACATGTCAATATTAGTTATATCTTCTCTGGCAGTAGTTTTATTAAATTGCTTTAATGAATCTATTAAAAATTATTTAAATCAATGTATTCACATTGGCACTTTATGCATAACTGGTATAAAGTAATGGGAGGAACAATTCTCTGCACAAGTAAAACAAAGTTGGTAAAGTATTCAAGGCTCAACACGCACTAAATGTACGCAATAGTCATAACTCTTTTAAGCAATGGAATAAACTTTAGTTTTTTCTTCTGTTGAAAGCATTCATACTTTAACATATAATATGATGTAGCTACTCACACAACTAACTTGTTCCGCACATCAATTTTAGTGCATTTGGTGCCTTTCGATTTTTACGAAATGTTTTTAGGATGCTAATATATATATATATAAAAAGATAGGAACCGAAAAAAGAGGCACCTATATACACTGGTAAATATAAATATTTAAAATGTCATGGTTATAAAATGAAACATTGAATGGCCACAGTGTAAGCTTAAAAAATCAATTACAAGATCATAAGTAGGTTTTGTACATTCATGTCGAAATCTGAGGCCACAATATATTGGTTCTTTCAGTAGAGATTAAAAAGCACCAAGAGTAAAAGATTTGTATAATTCAAGTTTTCTGTTTCTTAGTAATGGAATTATTTTTAACCTTCTCTAGCTTACAGGCCACAATCTAAATACCTAAAACTCTGTTCGAATGAGAAAAGAGCTAATAACGAGTGTGAAAATTGCCCAAATATAAAGAGATAAAAAGTTTTGTTTGAATAGATAAAACTAATCCAAAAGGTAAAGTTTGTTTTTGCTTATTCAGATAGGTGGAATAAAAAGAAGAAAAATAAACTCACATATTGTGGGATTTGCATAGGTAGAATTGAAAGAAGGGAAAAAAAATGATGGTAGGTGCTTAGGTACTGTTTCTAATTATACTTAAAGTTTTGTTTTTGTGCACCAAGAAGATAAAACTATAAATATGATTGAACAATAATACCTACAATATCATGTAAATTTTGTGCTAAAAACAGTGAAAAGAAACTAGTAGAAAGTTTAAGAGTTTTTATAATAATAAACATTTGATGAAAAATTATGATTTTTTATGATATTTCTTCACAATTGAAAGCAATTTAAAATTTATATTATAGAAAGTATAATTCAAACATCAAGAAAAAAATTTATCCCTAATCCTAATCAATCCCACCTAGTAATCCCTCGATCCATTCATCAGCCTAATACACCCACACACATTACAAAAGGGCTTCTTTTATTTTCACTCCCTATTTCTATTTTTACCATATTTATTTTTCATTTCTCTTTGCCTAAATATGTTTAATTTTTTACTGTATTTTTTTACACGTTTCCGCTCACCTTTTTCTTTCATGTAATCCATTTCTCAAATCCTCGTAGTACTAAAAGGCATAAAGCAATATGTAGGGAAAATACCCTATTTCACTTTCACCCTCAACTTTTGGTATACCTCGTACTTAGCTTATTAATATGCATAAGGGAAAAGGTAGTAAAATAATGATGTTATCACTTTCTCAAATTATAACTCTTAGCAATTGAAAATAAGTTAGTAGATGATCAAGTAGAGTTCAAGAACTAACTAAGAATTCTAACAGATGCATTTTCTTTTGAAATTCAAATAAAATTCATACTGATATATTCATTGCAATAGGTCAAATTCAATATATAATGTTTATTATTATTCTACTGCCTTATAAGATATTATAAAATATCTCTAAAATAATATAAAATATCTCTGAAATATTTATAATAATTAATTATCAAAATTTATTATATCTTTCAAATATTTATAGATAATATCTTATAATATAATAATTGATTATCATAATTTATTATATGTTTTAAAATATTTTATGATATAATAGTTTATTTTCTACTATATCCATTATGCATATAATATTTTATAATAATGGATTATCATCAGGTAATAGAATCAACATTCAACCATTGAGTACTCAGTCAATAATTATAATAATTATTTAACATAAAAGATGACAATATCAATTAACTAAAGTAAATCAAATCAATAAAAATAAATAAATTTTTTTATAGTAAAATATTAAATATATCCAAATATAATAATTGTTAATAAATAAAAATAATTAAAGTTCAATAATGAATACATTTTAATTGGTTTCGAGGCATAAACAATGTGGTCAAGATGATAAAATAAATTAAAACTAGGTTAGGAAACCAAATAAATAAACATTAAAAAAATGAATAGTGATAAATCAATTAAAATAGTATCGAAATGAAAAGGGACAAAGATGATTTATTTTTAGGAAATTAAAATGAAAAACAGGTTGGTATAAAAGACAAAATAGTTTGAATAAAAAAAATGACGGAATCAAGGAAAGATAAATAAATCATGAAGAGGTAAATAAATTCAAATAAGGATAAAATACGAAGAAAAATCCTAGGAGATTTTTTCTAATAACAACAAAAATAGCTGTTCAGAGGAGGAATGTAATTCATAATTGTTTGAGAAAATAAAATCTCATTGAAATTGAATGTGAAAAGGTTCACAGTAGCTAGATAACTTTCTAATTTATAGATATAGAGGATAATGTATATTGGATATCCACGTAAGTGCCTACAACCATAATAATAATAATAATAATAATAATAAAATTATGCTTATTGTTATGGAAAATGACACTTGAACAACCATTTTTTACAACATTTAGACACGCGCACACGTGTCTAAATGTTGTCAAAAATGGTTGTTCAAGTATCATTTTCCGTTTGTTATATGAGGAAAGAACTGGGGTAAGAACTGATGGTAGTGTAAATATTTGGATATGTTGAAAATTAAAATGTGGAAAGTGAAACTTGTCACAACAAAAAAAGTTGGTGAATTGAAGCAAAGATATCAGAAAGTGAATCTTTATTTTGGAAATACCTCACTGACATTACGTGAAGCATAAGATCAGCAGAAACATTTCCACAGGTATTCACCAAACTATTTGCACCTTGACTCAGCCCTAGCAACGAAATTACATGGTCCATGCTAAAATGGAACTCTTCATTACTCTCACGTTTATACAAAGGTTATTATTACGTACGCTAATAAAATTGTTAGGACAACCTTGTATTTTGGTAAACTACCGAGGTGCACTATCTTAAACCAGCTGACAAAAATGGGAACTAGGAAGTACTAATGAATGTTCTCTAAGGATGTGCTTTCTTTCCAAGAAGAATATCAATGCAAGATTGCAACTAGACAATGACAGGAAAAACAGCTTTATAGAATAATACAAGGAAACACAATACCCTGATAAAGCTTTGAGGGCTACAAAGAATATGAATTTATATCGTGAGACACCACAATGAATGTATACAGAAATCAGTCACACCACACAAAACAAGCATCTCGATCATACAAAATAAGAAGGCTTATAAAAATCCCGCTCTAAGATGTCCTTTTGACACAAATGCATATGTTATGGACAAAAGGTACAGGGCCACACACTCAAGAACCCTAGCTACTCTTCCAAGGTTTGAGAACACCCACAACTATGATAGCTACTATTATCAACAGTATAATGATGGCAATGCACATCCATTTTCGTGAGTTCTTCTGGAGTTTCTTAGCATTTTGAAGTGCACTTGTCCCTCTCTGGACATGATCGACTGCGTTGTTGACCTGAACAAGCCTCTCATTAACGCAAAATCAAACTAAATATGCCCTGTATTCGACATACACATGCATACAAACACAACATTAAGGGTGTGAGAGGCGCAGAGTGAACAAACCTGACTTTCAATGTTATCTAGAATTTCTCCTTGAGCATCAACTAAGACTGCCATGTCAAGGTAAATCTGATAAATAGTAAAATAGTGTTAGACATGATATGCTATCATTAAGGTAGATTAAATATTTAAGACTGAGATCTTCGTGTAGGCAAACCTGGTGTAAATCAAGAAGTTTTTTCTCAATCTCTTTCACAGCATCATGTCTCTCCTGAATTTCTTCTACTGTGTTCACTACCTGCAAAATCCAGGTTTTCTTATGTTTTAATTCTCCACACAAGTGAAGTGAAATCACAACTACAAGTTTCCAAAATGAAACAATTGAAATGTTTGAATACCCTTCCCCAACTCCTGAAAAAAAAAATTATCATCTTTGGCCATGAGATGAAAATGTGAAACCTCACTTTACTACATAAAGTTAGTGTAAATAGAATAAGATATACCGATTCAATCATGAATTAATTTTCGACTAAGCCTTTTTTCCAGGTATTAAACAAACCCACTTTATCCAAGAAAAAAGGAAGACAGAAAAGATAACGTAATATATTGAACTTTTCAAGAGGAAAAGACAAACTACAGTTAAATATCACAAACCAAGTACCTGTCCTCGGCCTGCTTCTAGGATTGCTCTCTGGAAGATTTGCTCACTGTTTCCAGTTTCTATCAGGCGATCAATAGTCTATCACAGTCAATGATGACCAATTACAACAAAATTTATAGGTAGTGAATATCCCAAATCACAAACTCATGAGTTAAGCTCACCTCATCATCTGGCCTAGTCCCAGTAACTGTAAATCAAATCAAGAAATCACAAAGTGAACACCATTAAACACTTTATAATATACAAGTCTAAAATAATAATAAGAAACAATGGTACTGCCAAGTGTACCACAGGGATGAAATGTTCAAACCTGTTATAACCCTTCTCTCCACAACCTCACGATATTCATCTTGTATTCTTTGTCTAAGAGTCTAAAACAAAACACATTGATGAGAAGACAGACAAGAAAATGGAAAAACAGCTTCTGCTGTTAGGTGTTAAAAACTGAACATACCTGGAACTCTGTCATGAGATCCTTGAATTTTTTAGTCAAGGAACTGTGGTTTCATGGAAAAGTAAAATAATTCAGTTTTCTGGGTCCTTTTATCAAGTACAATGATGAAAATGTGTACAATCAACTTACTTTGTCATATTCATTCTTGCTCTGTCAATACCCGTTCCCTTCTCACAGCCAGGCTTTTGTCTATTAGATAGGTTCTGCACAAAACAATTCATGATCAAATAACTATCATACTTTCTGAAATTTTACAGTAAATTGACATCCAATAAAACAATATTCAGCCAATAGCTCAATACATCTCTGTTTATAGCCTCAATCTTTGTTTTAACACCATGAGCAATCTTCCCAACTTCATCAATATCTTTCTCCATCCTTTTCTTGATGCCTGAAAGTAATGTTATAGGTTACACTATTAAGTTTTGTTCGCATATATTGTAAATTCCAAAAGAAGTATATCAAAAAAATTCAATTTGAAGCATAAATATTTATGTAACTTGCCATTGTTGTGAGAAAGACAATTTACCATGTGTCTGTCTGGCTATAGCAGCCTGACAAGCCCAAGGTAATATAATTTCAGCTCCAATACAAAAAATCCTTACAACGAAATTCAAAATGGATGGTTCAACTAAAGTATATCATTGCATCGTAACACACGCTTAATGACACATGCTTTAGTAACATATTCTATTCATTGTTCTAAAGAGCATCAAATTTTAATATTAGCAACAAATGCAGTATATTAAAAAAAATGTCATGTGCCTACCAGAAAATCTTACAACTGATTCAAAATTGATGATTTCGATTAAAAACAAAAAAACATTGCACTTGATGTAACCACAAAAATAACATAGCATTGTAACACACCTTTCATGGCAGATGCTTTTGTAACAGCTTTCGATTCCTCATTAGCTTCCTGCAAGAAGTAATTTTAGCTTATAAATGAGATATTGCTGCTGGAAAGTAACAAACGATGAAGATAATGAATACCTTTAGCTTTTGAAGTAGCACCGCCAACTTATCGATCTGTTTATCAGCCTCATGGATCTAATATCGAAACAAAGAATATCAGTACATGTAGGATATTAACTGCACTGTTGAGCAAACTACATGAAGAAAAAGTTAACTATGGAAACAGAAAAACTTATCAGTTCCATTATCCCCTTGGACAACGATATTTTTTGGACTTCCAGCCTATTCTAAAATAATATCCGCACAACAAAAAACCCTATAACATCTTAGGTAATAAATTGCTATCTTAAATAGTCAAATGCTCTAAAATTTTAAAAAGCGTGTACATTGTGTACCTGCTTATTAAAAGCTTCCATTCCCATATCAGAGTTACTTCTCGGAACCTGTCCCATTTCAATGTCACTTTCTCTAGAAGGCTGGCCATTACTAGCTTCACCAACAAATGAATCCTGCAAGAAAGAATGTCAAATAATAATGACAGTAGTAAAAAGAAAAACAAAACTACCCTTAGACTTTGATCTTATAACACAACAACATTGTACTACACATAACCCGTTTCAAATTAATTAACAGTAACAAAACGAAACAGAATCACTATCAGAATAAATCCAAAACCAAAAGTTATGCCACAAACAAAATAACAACCTGAAATCTAATTGGGGATTAACTATGATCTGAGTTAATGTAAGACACCGCCTATCGGAAATTTTCACTAGCCATATAGTGATTCAGCGATGAACTGAATTTTACGGCTTACAATGTCAGAACATGTTGATTCCTATTCGTATCCCACTAGAATCCAAGGCAAAATTTTGGGCACCTCTTAATGTCGTTTTTTTTAAAGAAAGATAAAATGAAATGAAATGAAACAGAGTATGAATCTGACACAGTGATGGCAGAAAATTAGAAAATAAGTTTAGCAACAGAACTACAAGACCCAGTTATCAAAATCGAATTTTGGAATCGAAAGAGGGAATTACAGATATCAACTTACAGTGAGAAGGTCGTTCATCGTGAATTGTCAAATCAAACTGTTGGAGAGAAGAAAGAGATGTCCAAAGCAGACAGTGAAACGGCAATAATTGTTGTGTCTTTGGCCGGCGAAACGACAGCGAAGCAAGGCAGGGCAACCCACGAACTCTCTCACAATGCATTTTGTTTTGTTTTGGGAGATGTTATTTTGACTCTCCTCTTGACAACCGTGAGGTGGCAAAATGTGATTATGTGTGAAAGGGTAAAAACGGTAAAGCAAGAAACAACGAAAGGGCAAAAACGGTAAAGGCATAAACCACAAAAGGACAAAAACGGTAAAGGAATAAACCACAAAAGGAAAAGAAAAAAGTGAAATCAGATGGGAATTTCAAAACTGAGAGTGAAAATGAGAAGGGAACTTAGAGTGAAGCGTGGGAAGGGGATTTAGAAGCCGCTTGAAGGAAATCTAGAATTTCTAAATCCAAAAGAAAGTGAAGGTTTCTTTTGCCACTGTTGGAGTTGCCGGTGACGCCGTGGTGGATGTTGGGAAGAAGGTGGAGAAGTGCGATTTGAGGCCGGGGAGGGTTTGTCGTCGGCAGTGGCGGAATTTGGGTGAGGTGCGGTTTGTTTTGCCACTGTTGGGGTCGCCGGTGCCGCCATGGTTGGTGGTGGTGGAAGAATTAAAAAAGAAAATGGTCGCTGAACTTACATATTTGCCCTTCAGTGACATTGTGAACTGGGGCCCGCATTTAAAACAATAGTGCGCTACTAGATTGTTTTTGTTCTTTCTTTTCTTTTATGTTTAAAAACATTTCTTTAAAAACAATAAATGCCTCCATTTCCGTATTCGCATTGTCTATCGTTTACTTTTTAATTTATTTATAAATTTTAAATTGATCATCTCGGTCTTAAAAATTTAATCTTTTTAAAAATATAAATAAAATTTACAATTTACTAATGATATAATTCCCTTTCAAAATTCATTGTAAAACGAAAGTAGACGTGAATGGAAGGTTCCAATCTTTAAACAAGTATTTCAATTTCAAAATCTTTAAATAGAAAGTTATTTTTCCTTCCACAAATTTCAGTTATTAATGAAGTTAATTATAAGATATTCTGTATCAAACCAAGTTAATTGGTATAAGAATTCTGCCAATAAATATCTCTTTAAATATCTTTTGATTTTCGGGACTTATCTAAAGACTCAATTTACTCAAACTTTTAACTAGGCAAGTTTTTACAATATCATTTGACTATATTGTTATGTTTGAAAGAACTATCAGAGTATTGACTCAAATAAGAAAAATAATCTTTTACATATTGCGTATATGTTGAAGTTAAAGGAAAGAGGTATTACACAGTGTAAAGGGCTAGCTGGAGGAGGAAAAAGAGTGACCAATAATATGTGAAAATTGACTTATAGATTATGGTTTGGCTTTTCGACAACCTGAAACCTCTGCAATGAATGCGGAATCAACATCACTTTTTTCCTATTTTGTGAGTTTTTAGATTCAAACAACAATTTTTTTTAATTAATAATAATTTGAAGTACATAAATTTTTTTAATTCATTTCATACCATTTTTTATTTTATAAATATAAAAAATTCATTTTTTATATTATTTTACTCGTACAATTTATAAAATAAATGTGAATATATCTCACTGTATTGTTACTCAAATTTTAAAACAAAAATGAAAACTTGTCTCCTTTATATGCTTGAGATTCCATGACTTTTGACTTGTGAGCACCTTTATTCAGAGGTTTGGCACATGATACCATTATTAGAGAAACATGTTTTATCAAAGTGCATTTTTCCTTAAAAAGATGCAATTAAACATTTTATTATTTATCTTTAAGGCTATGTTCGCTTGAGTGTATAACACTGTTTAAGAGAAAGTGCGACGACTGATTTGCAAATAAATTTGTATTCACTTGAGGTGATATGTATCGATAGATTTAGACGGATTTGCGAGATAGCGAAGAGAAGTGATCTTCGCTGAAGTGAAGAGATTTGTGGTGATTTCAGCGTAAATGATGTAAGACCCATGAAAAATAATTATAATAGTAAATTTTAGCATTTTATTATAATAATAATTTTAATGGATAGAAAAATGTAAATTTTGGATATAAAATTATAGTAATTCTAGAAAGAGAGGTTCAAATTTTTTGATAACTTATTCAGGATTTTTTAAAAATTGAATAGTAAAAAGTGAATAGTAAATAGTAAAAAGTGAATAGTAAAAGTGAATAGTAACAAAGGGATAAGTCATCCACGTTGGTTTAGAGTAAGATCAGATATGTTTAAGATTAAAATAATATTTTTAATAAAATAATGAATAGTAAAAATATATAGTAAAAAAATGAATAGTAAAAATGAATAGTAAAATTTTTTTGGCTATAAATAGCAAGGGAGGGAAGGTTAAAACTTACACCAAAATTCTAGAAAAATTTGTGAGAGAAGAGAGTTGGAGGATATTCTAGTTGTAGAGGGGAAATTCTGGAAGTTTTCGGAGAACGGTTTCAGAAGAGGAAATTAAGTCTGGAATAGAGGGAAGGGGAGTTACATTTTTTTTTGTATTATCTTGAGTATTGCATATGTTGCTTTTGTTTGATCTTAAATCTTAAATATGAAGTATTTTGTTTCTGTATGATTTTGAATTTTGAATGAGAACATGCTTCTGTGTTTAGATCCAAGTGTGATAGTTGTAAAATGTGATGTTGATTATGTTATGTCATTTGTATGTAATTAGTTGTTTATTTTT